CGAGTTGCAAACTTACAACACAGATCTTCTCAGCCATAAAAAGCCAAGGGTGGGGAAATTCAAGGGCTCGCTGACCTAGGCCATATTTGCATGGTCTCTTTTCAGTGAAGTACTTATGTAGGATGATGGCATCTTAAACCATCAGTACATCACACCAACCTGTGTGCCAAGCTTAGTGTTCCTCTTGAGTTTCTGTGACAACCAGAAAGTATTTCGTCCATTGCCAAAGGGATCATCCGGGACCTCCACCCAAAGGAACTGGTTTTTACATTATGTGTTTAACCTCTCTGAACATGGATTGGAAGAGTAGCAGAAGAATTGGCAATCCTTTGCTCAGAAAAGAGAGGGGGTTCAGGTAAAAAGAGAGGAAAAGAGGAGAAAGGGTGCAAACTTACTTCAGAAAGGGGAGCCACTTTAGGAAATGTTGTTGTGGGAGAATGCTTGAAGATCTAAAGAAGAGATGCGTTGTATTGCACATTTTAGAAGACGCCGCATTTCAGCCTTTGTTACCAAAGACGTATCAGCTCCAAAGGCAATCATCATTGCACCTATGAATTGGCATGACATGTGCTTACATCTGCCAGCTGTGAAACCCTAAAGGGTCTAATACTCAACCTGGGCATGAGAAAGTTCTCTTGTCGCTCTCCTCGATGATAGAACTAAGGAGGGCTGATGTTGAGATGCTGGCCTGAATGGCCAGAGAAGCCCAAGGCATCCCAGTCCAATATGGATGCTGCCAAACGGCCAAACCTAGATATGTTAGGCGCATCTGATGGGCATGTCACCACTGTCGGGAACACAGGATCACAATCTGCACTCAATGACATGACAGTTACAAATAATCCTCCTCTAGAGGAGCCACACGTTGTACTATTGTATTGCCTATAACCCAAAAGATACTTTGAACCACCCGAGAATTAACACTTGTAAACGAGCTCGAGCTCCTATATTACTCAAAAAATTACATAAGTTATTCACCTTGTTTTCCCAGCTTGTTTTTTGTGTTCTTATAAATTGATCAATTTAAAATTAAAGTTTCTTGTGCAAAGCTCAAAGCGGTCACGTCTCCACGTGAGGGGGCATGTAAGAATATAAAAACCTTTCTTGTGCCTACAACCACAAGCTTGAGCTTTTGGCTAAGTTGGTTCCTTGACAAACGACATGGGCACTTTTGAGTGACAAGGTGAAATAACGGAAAGATTGCTCCTCATGACATACACTAAGGGTCCGTTTGGTAAGCTTCTCCAACAATGTTTGGAGAGATTTAATTCTAACATTTTTATGTTTGGTGAAAATTTGAAAAACAAAAAAATGAAATCAATTCCTGATATCTCTACAAGCTTCCATCGTCTATCTTCTCATCTTGACTTCTACAGCACAAGGCCATCTCCGACAATAGACAATCGCCAAACCTCAAAATCATATCTCTGGATTGGGCAGCGGATGGAGGTTGGAGCTCAGGATTGGGAGGAGGCTAGGTTCAGCCGGTGGCAGCTGGATAGAGGCTCAGGTTCGGTCGGTGGGTGAGGACGACGGCGGTGAGCAGGTGAAATTGGTGATATCCAAGATGAGATCGGAGGCTCTGGATTGGAAGGAGACCGAGGTACGACCGGTGGCTAAGGAAGACAGCTGTAGGGGAGTGAAATCGGTGATGTCAGGATTGGAAGGAGGCCCGGCGAGCTTTGGATTGTCTCACTGTGTTCCAAAGGTAAAATCAGTGACATCAATTGATGATATCGGCAAAATAATACCGATTTCAAGATGCGTCGTTTCGAGAGAAATTGGATATCTCCAGATGTCAATTATAGATTCCTTTTTACTCTCACCAAACATGTATTTTGGAAACTTCATATCTCAGATATCGAAATCCATATCTTTCTTTCTCACCAAACAGGCCCTAAGGGCTAAGGGAATTAGTGGCTCTTCTCTCATAAGAAGATAATAATCCTAGCTAGGCTAGCTTTAACAATGTTATTATGGTTTCATATTCTGATTGGGTTTGTAGTTAGGGGTTTCCAATTCAGCTATTCTTAATGGGTTTAGGCTCATTTTTCCTCTATATAAGCACTCTACGTGCAATTGTCAGCAAAAAAGTCATATCAATGAAAGTAGAAGTTTATTACTCTGCACCTCTAAGCGAGTTGGAGATTAAACATGAAGCCTCCTATCTAAAAACACATAGGGTGTAGTAGTATATTCAAGCTAGAAGGTCTCTCACAATGATACACAATCCCAATATAGCCCCACTAAATAAAAAGAACAATAAAATGCAATAATATATCTTCGAAAACAAAGATTGATCATACAGATGAGTAGCGTTAAACTTTGATGTATGGCTTCCTCGATTCTGAAATCCTACTTTGAGGATTCTGGAAAATTCCAGAGGGTTCTCCACCTTTTCTTGTACAAGTTCCACAAAACAATCTGGTAAACTAAGGACAATTTTTGGATGATCCCTACCAGATTCCAAAAGCAAATCTCTTATCTGCAATGAATAATCAAAGAATGTTAGGCCCCAGCTCTCAAGAAAAATCAAAAGTACCAAAGGAGAAAAAGAAACAGTGAAATGGCAAGATAGTACAAAATCTTGGAAGCTGGGACCTGTTCATTATAAAGCTCATAGACTGAAACTGAGAATCTAAATTTAGATGTGGAAGTTGCATCTGAATTGGATAAATCAAACAGCTCCTCAAAGCATCGAGCATATAAACCACGATCATGACTAGACCCTTCCTGCAGGAAGGTTTAGGATCATCACTCATCAGAACTATGATGAAAATCAAACTGTTAGTCAC